GGATGGGGTTAATGGAGAACTCATATTGCTTCGGCGGTTGCAGATCCTTCTTCTGCTCTTCCTCGTCGTGGTAGTGCTCAGAAGCAGCGTTCATGACTGGTGTGTTCAAGAGCTCTCGAACCCGACTAGACTCGATAAGCATGCCAACCTGTTTTCAATTGTCAGTCAAATGAGCGACTCGCGATGCTGGCGAGAAGGGGCTTACCAGTCCACCACCAATGAAGAGAACAGTGATTGAGATGTGCTCCAAATCCTGCGCGCTGTATTCTCCTCCCCAATTTCCAAGATGCTCGAGGAAAATGTTGGTCGATCCGTAGACGAAAATGAGGGCGCTCTCGACAAACTCGGCCGAGGGCCGCCACTTGCCGTCGGCACGCTTCGGCAGAACATTCCACGCCTGCCGGAGCAAAGTCAGCAAACTGATTCCGAACACGGCCGGCAAAGCACCGGTGACTTACCCATCCGAGTTCACCAAAGCTGCCGGTCCATCGACCAAGGGTCAACAAGCCAAGCCAAAAGAAAATGCCGCCCTTGACCCAATGCGCCAAACCGCTGAAGATGCCGTTGCCCTCCTGTGCATGGTTAGCTTTATAACTCCAGTAAGCTCGTTCGTATATTGCTTACAAAGAACCGCCCGTAGGTCACAATACCTAGGCACAAGGTGACAAACCCCAGCGGCAAGATAAGTCTATCGATTGAGTTGTAGGAAAAGACCAAGCCCTTCAACACGCGCAAAGGAATCTTCCCCGCTACTCTTGCAATCGTCGACCTGGGGTTGGCACTGGTGTTCTCGTCCCTGTTACTCGGCATGGGCATGGGAAGGCCATCTTCAATATCGTCCTCTTCTTCGGCGTACTCCTTTAGGTAGGCGTCGGAGTTGCGCGGGGACACCTCATTGGACGATGAGGAGCGGGAATGACTCCGGAGCGATTCGGTACAAGGCTCGGTGCCCTGCCCGCTGTCGTTGGACAGGCGATACTCGCTAGCATATCGAGAGCTGTTAACGCGGTGGTGCTCTGCCATAGCAGCCGCAGTTACTGGAATGAATGACTGGTATTGGTTACTGTCGGATGTTCCGCGCCTGTCGTGCCTCAAAGCGCCAGCAACTCTTCCAACAAGGCCGATCAGGACCTGCGCCACCAGAACCCAAGTCACCAGCCAGCCCAGTTTGTGGTGCGCATTGTTGGGGTAGAGGTCAGGTGTGCTGGCATTGTAGATTGTTCCCAGGAGAACTCCAAGCGCATTGACGGCCATGAAAACAAATTGCAGCGCAAGTGTATATCTAGAGCGAGCAATGGAAAGCATCACAGCTGCGAATCGCGTGTAAGTCGGCGTAGGATTACTGGCCAGAGCTCGTCAAACTTACCAATTGGCAGAACAAATACCCAGGCGAGCACCATGAGTCCAATGTGTGCGTACATTATTCCGGCATGGTCGGCGAGCGCAAAGTATGTTGGAGGATAGCTTTTGGATTCGGCTTTCGACTCGTCTGCGCCTTGTGCCATGCCCATGTCCATCTCCATGGCGTCGGCGCCGGTTTCGTGAGCGCCATGGGCAACAGCCAAGGGCGCAATGCCCAGTACCACCACCGTGGTGATTTGGCTAGCTGACAATTTCATCAAGGGCCCTTTTGCGACTAAGCTATCCGTTGTCGCAAGAGGAGAAGAGGAAGATTCGGCTATGTCGCAAAGAGGAACTCGAACTTTCCCCGGGTCTATTCAGACAACGTACGGTAGAGTCGGCAAGAGGTCTATCTGGCGCCTCTTCGCAGCTTCGTACGCAAGGACAGAGAGCAGGAGGGTAAGCTTCCAAATTATTGAGGAGACTCTATGAGCGAGAGCGAGGTCGGGTCGCCTTTATTAAACAACAAGCAGAGTGGGGTCTAGCGAAGAGAGAAGTAGAGACGTCGCACCGGCGCCAGCACCGTAGCGGAGACCGAGAGAAGTCCTTTGGCGACAAGATTCTTGTCTAGAGGTGTAAGTGAGGTACAAAGCCGCGGTGAAGGATAGCCCAACGATAGCTTCTTGGAGCTGGCGTCGGTACACGGCGATGACATGGCCGGGCTTTGAGTACCTTGAGACCGGGCAGCCAGAAGTCAGGTCATACCCATGCGCATTCCCCATCTCCATCGTTCCTTATGGGATGGTGCAAGAAAGTACCGATGGTGTATCGTACATGTTGTCCAGGCAGGTTCCCTGGAAGTCATCCTGCCCACCCCATGTAAGGTAAGGCGGCGGCCGCCGCGAGAAAGAAATCACCGACCGTGGTAGACGCGAGGCGAGTGGCAGCAAGTATGCTCGGCAGCGTGTGTGTAAGTGGTGACAAGGTCAAAAAATGTGCAAAGACCGACTCCGAAGGTTCCGAAGGCATCCACGAGCGAGGGTCCGGCCAAGTTCAGCATCATCCAGTGACCGGAGGGAGGAGTTAAGCCAAGAGCTGTGCGGGATGGGAACGGTACCTTAGGTAGTGACATGTCACCCACCTTGCCTTGCTGGCGGAGGTACTCGAGAAATGTACCCGCCCGCCGACCCGAAGCTACGGGAGCTGGCCGGTGTGAACACGTTGAACAATGGATGGAGGTGAGAGGAAGGGAGTACACAGTAGGTAGTGTAAGCAGCTTGAAGGGGTGACATGTGGACGACATGGAAGGCGCGAGAGCTTCATTCCCTGAGATTCTATGTACATACCTTGCCTTCTTTCCTCTGCGCCGTTAGTGATGCTGGTGGGGCAAGCACTACACATCCTGGGAATCTAGCGGGGGTGCGGGGAGCTTTCCTGCACCAGCTTACCAGACCAGCTGCCTTACTCCAGCGGATTTCGCGGCAGTGACGCCATGAGACCCTGCCAGAATTTTTCATAACCACCTCATTGGAGAGAAGAAGGTTGCGATGAGTGCAGTAGCGTGCAGACCTAGACGGCCAGACAAGGTAAGTAAGGACCGTAAGGTGAGGTAAGTACACACCTCCTTACCTGCCTTGAGAAAGAGAGGGTATTCCTGGGAGTAGTTGGAATCCGTACTCTCACTCATCCGTTGGCTCACTCACACTACTTACACGCTTAGTCATTCAAGCTCATCCTTCAAACGTCCCCAATCGTGACATCAAAGTGAGACTCTCGTTCCTGGTGAGTGAGTGGCTGGATCTCATCAAGATACATAATGCGCCACTGACTTAACATGTCAGCCTCATGAGGAAGAGAAGAGAGGGCAACTTCCAGCATCCTTCCAGCATCGAGATGTACTCCCTTGAACAAGGAATCCGTGACCATGCAGCTATGTGTAACTCTCCCGGGATCAACGGGGACTAGGGAACCAGGGGGGTGAGTGGGTAAGGTAGCGACTACGGAGCAACAGACCAACACCAAACAAAACAACCTTATCGCCAAGATCGCAGCAGCCGAGTGCCGTTTTCTCTCCTTACCTCAGGCCTCAAACGCCCTGCGAGATGGTATCTGACCACCAAGCCGTCAATAACACGCGCGTCGATTCGTGGTGCTCGCCGCAGCCACTCAAGCGTCGTCGTCAGATGTGCGAGGCTGTCTTTGCTGTCCACCCATGGTACTAAAGAAGGGCTCATTGAATTTGTAAGTCAACTTTGCTACGGGCCAACATTGCTAGTGGTGTGTGTCCCACCATGTCAGATTCTTACATGAACGTGGCGCCCTTCAAAGACCTGAAGACCTGTGAATACTTCCGTCTAGGCATGGGAGTTGAGTCACACGGGGGAGACAGGCGGGCTACCTATCGCCATCACATAACCCCGTCGCATCACCTACCTATCCCTGTCCTGCCTTGCCTGCGTCGATCTGTAGTGTAACTTCCGTAGAGGTTGTGGTGTAGTGTGCGTCGTTCCCACTCCACCGATGGGTGCGGTAAGCAGAGACTAAGAAGGGGCCCGGCCACGAGCTAAAATCTCATAGGGCAGAGAAAATGTTTTGTTCATAAGCAGAACGAAGACGTGCAGGACCCCCAGTGCCGGCCGGTGCGGGAAGCGCGAAGTACCGACATGAAATGTCTAGGTAATCCAGAACGTAAGAACAAAAGAACGAAATCAAAGTGTTGGCCGCGCTTCCGAAGCTCCGTCCGTTGGGAATAAGCCCTGCGTCAAATCCTTCTGACGCCCAGCTCTGCTATCACTGCAACATCATCTAGAGGCCTGAAGGCTGTGTATCTTTTCTCACCCCGAGTTGGAAGTTGAACGACGCCTGGCGGGCGGCCGAGCCTTTGCCAACGCGGCGCCAAGACGAGTAAAATTTGCGGACACGGAGGATACACGAAAGCTCCGTACGAACAGGCCATGTACGGAGTACGTTACGGCGTGTCTCACGTCCCGTAACCCCCGTAGACCGCCCGGCCATGGGGTCGTGAAACTTCTGAACTTCTGAATTCCTATATTGATGATGTTGAGCTTGTTTCCCTGTAACTTCTATTCTGCTGCCTGCTTGCATTCTGCAATGAGACTTTGCTCTGCTTCTCTCAATGGTCTAACCCCAAGGGAGCCAATGACTTCTCCTGCTTCTCTCTGCGCCATGCCCTTGGCCTGAGTATGTTCAACCTGAGCGGTTGACCGAAACCTGCAATGAGCCATACCCCAAGTCAACAGACGCCGGCCCAGATGATACACTGTGATTCATCATGTACAGAAACCTGGGAAGAACAACATCGCGGTACGCCATATAGTGACCGTATTACAAATGGGATGGCACCTAGAAGCCAACAAGTAGAGGATAAGTCAGCAAAAGGAAAAATTAAAGCAGCCTCATGAACAACTAGTTCGCCCAACTCCACCAAGAAGAGAGGGAAAATCCACATGGATGGATGCAAGCAGGAAATCCACAACCCATCCGCCCACCACCTGGCCAAATCCACATAAGAAATACGTACGTGCGCATCCTTGCCTTCGATCCGCCCGTCGAACCCACGATCCCGCTCTCCTTCTTGGCTCCACATGACAGACTGGCGGGTACGTTGTACCTTCGATGTACCTACCTGAAGTACCTTGGGTACCTCTCATGGCCGACCGGACCTGATTGTTGAAGCACTGCGAGACATCGTAAGCGAAGGCCCCTCTTTTCCCGCGGCTTGCGGTCGGTGGCTCCGGAGTCAAGTCGGAGTCCGACCCGCATCGATCACGGGGCATCGTAAAATTCGTAGGAAGTTTTTGAGGCTACTCTGTTTGATATGGATGATGACGCTATTTCTCGATAATATCGAAGGAATATCAGCTTCTATGCAATTGTAAAATAATATTGATCGAGTCACATCTGCAGTCGAAGGGCGGATATCTCGGTTACCCTTCCGACTACAACACCCAGTATAACAACTTGAGGTGAGCTGGACATACAAAGGCATGACGCCGCACCAGTTTTTTCTGACGTTCTAACATTCGAGAAGGTGAGATTGTGACATATCAACCGCAACGCTCTAGTCTATTCCATGTCAGCTGCTACACCACACCGCCCTCAACCTCTGCTGCGTTGAGCTTGCGTCACAAGATATCGGAACAGCGCATCCGTTTCGATGCTACCAAGAAGAAGAGAATCCTTGGAGAGATGCAGACCGCGACCGCTGTTTCTAGCCTTCCAGGTGGCGCCCCACTTTCATCGTACGTCCCGCGCCGTCACGAGATTCGACTTGTCCGAACCTTCCGGCGGTCTCGTTGCGCTGTGTAACCTTGCCGCAGAGCCATCGCGATGCATATGGCTCATCTTAGCTACGCGATTCTTCCAATCGCCGGCTGACTATGGCAAACTCGAAGCTATTGTAGACGTATAGTGTATTGCATTATACGCTCAGCACATTCATACCCTCATTGCGGGATCGTCTGGTTTCTATGATATGCGTAGTCCTCAAAGCCATGAGGTCCATCCCCACTTTCCTCCTACTTAAGTATGACATATCACGGCGTCAAATCTGCCGTCTTCGGATCCGAGGCTCCGACCAAGGTCCGCCAACACCTCTGCCCCGTTTCATCATCTGGACGAATTATAACGCAGATCGATCTTTCAACTTCCATCTCTCATCACTCTGGACCACCTTGTTTTCTTTTTCGAGCTTTCCCAAGATCTGTATGACTCCACCGCTCGCCGGGATATGCAGCTCCTCAGGAACGTCAGCGTAAATGACTTTGACAAGCTCCATGACCGTCCAGGCGTAGGGATCGCCCTCGATACTAGAGCCTTGCCTCGCCGTCCTTAGCGTACGAATGACCTGCTCCTCTCGAGCCTTCCTGTGGTTGATGTAGTCTTGAATCTTGGACGGGCCGTTGTCAACCACGGGCCCGTGACCCGGATACGCCCTTCCCTTGAACAGGCTCTGCATTCTCTCGAGACTGTTGAGGTAGACGGTCAAGTCCTCGAATACTGCGGTACCCTGGCCCAAGACGTTATCCGCCGTGAACATGGCGTCCTCCTCCTCCAAGACGAAGGCCATGTGGTCGACGGTATGCCCCGGAGTGAAGACAGCGGTAAGGCTGACACCGTCGACAACAAACTTTTGGCCGTCCGAAATGTCTGACTGGCCCTCCTCGGGTTGGTTCTTGAAGACCTCTGAGCTCGGAGACAGCTCTAGCAGCTGCTGGATGCCGCCCGTGTGATCATGATGCCAGTGAGTGATCAGTACCTTCTCCACCGTCGCCTTTTCCTGCTCGAGGGTTGACTTGACCGCGGCGATCCACGACGGCTTGCCCTCGCCTGTGTCGATGAGTATACGGCGGCTGCCTGTGCCGACGAGATACGTGTTGGTGCCCTGCAGCGTAAACTTTCCAGGGTTGCCTCCCAGAATGCGAATACAGGCTGGGCTGAGACGCTCGACCTCGGGTAGCGATACTAGTTGTGAAGCCATCGTGTTGTTGTTCTTGGTACGACTCAGACGGGCAATATGTCTAGTCCCGGTTGTAGTTGAGTAAATTGGCGGTCTTAGTCACAAACCAGCGTTGCGATTACATGGGGAAAGCACGCTGGACACAAGACCCCGCATGTTCCTTCAGGTATGCGACAGAGAATTAGCCGCGACGCGACGCTGGGCATTCAATCTGGCGAATAGAGGATAAGTTGGTGCTCCATGTACGTGAAGACGCAATGGAGGGGCAGTGAAAATACCGAGGTTGAACCAAATGCGCCGCCAGGCACTTTGATGATGGCTCTTGTAAGCGGCTTACCTCAGCAATGTCTTCATATTGAATTTCACCAGTGACAGTGACCTCACTGTTGCCGCGTTGCGACGGGAGGGTCCTTCTCTGGACCCACCGAAAAGTGCCCCGAGGTCCTGTGGGAATTCAGGGGCATAGGGGGACTTTCGGCAGGCGGATAAGCAAAAGCTGTTATCGATAAGAAACCACCCGATCAGGTGCCGATAAGACCTGGATTTACTGCCTGTTGGCCGCTGGCGCCACGGAATCTACCCGTCTGTGCACCCAGTGCCAGCTCCAACATTTGCAACTTCCAGGGATTGTTTGTAAGGCCTTTTGGGAACTGTGCCCTCCCGACGATCCTGAATCACTTTGCTCTTTGCGCATGAAATCTGTCGCAGTCTGGAGCCTTTGGTTCTGTTTTCCTTCTGCACCACCAAATTTTGCCTCGTCCACAGCTGCGACTGGGACTGGAAGCGACAGCCCGCGCGGACCTTCTCGATCTTCGGCTTGCGCCATCCACCAAAGCTCGCCCACCCGCCCACTCTCTGGGGAGCTTCACCACAGCGCGAAATCGCTCCTTCCGACAATCCAAACATCCTCTACTTTGCTCAGCTTCACTGGCTCGGCTTTTCTAGCCGGTAAATCCTACTCTCACTTTATGTTTCCGTCTCTTGTCTTACCAATTGACCCATTGTATTGCGACAAACTCGCGGCTAACGGTGGATTTCCAGTAGTATTGTTGCGCTGGCCCGACTCCGGCCGTTACCAATCCACGACGCCTTCCTTGCCCATCGTCGGAATCACGAACTTATCTTTTCGGTTTTGGATCACATTTTGCCTCGGCCTTTTTTGCGCAATAGGAAAATCCCAAGTATTTTGCTTTCCAGGTGCTTCAAGGCAAGAGCAAATAGGCGAAAGAGCAGGACGACCGACCGATTAATTAAACAACACCATCCACAACATCCAAAATGTCTGCTCGACCAACGACGCCGATGTCCCCAAAGACCGCCAAGGTCAAATCGCCCCTCCCTGGCACACCAGTCTTTGGCTGCGGTCAGTAGACCCCGATTGTGACTTGCTGCGGCGGCAGGAAAATGGGCCAGAGTCAGGCTGACAGGATACAAACAGAACACATCCAGCGGCTGTTCACCCAGTCCACAGAGGGTATTACCCAATGTGTCCACCACTACAAGATGATCCTCAAGAACATCTTTGAGCAGACGCCTGTTGTGCCGCAAACATTCAAGAACTCTGACGGCCAGGTCATGACGTCTCTCACATCCAACTACCTCTGTCTACAATGCTCCGCCATTGTCAATGAGGATGATCGTCTCAAGCACGGCACAAAGAAGCAGCATCGCTTCTGTACGTGGCCCGTCACCGAAAGCAAATGTGAATTTCCTAACAAAGTTTAGATGTCGACTCAAGGAGTGGTGCCCTCTACTGCCAGATCTGTGATGACCTAGTTTGGGACCCCACTCTCGAGGAGCTTCGAGTTCGTAAGATGGGAACAGGAACTTTTTCCAGTAAGTTGTCTTTACCCATGAGAGGCGTCCCCCTCGTACCTCAAACTACAACCTGCATTGTTGTACCGCCCAGCTTTGGCTCCTAGCTGCCTGATCAACATGCTAATTGATCTTCTAGACCGTAAGAGAAAGCACGATGAGATGTTCTCAGATGGCGTAAAGGACAGTTCTGCAAGCAACCCAGGCTTTATATCCAACAACACCACCACTGCCTCTTGCAAAGCCAATGGTCTGCGCGGAATCTACAATGCCGGAGCAACATGCTACCAGAATGTGGTGCTGCAGAGCTTCCTCCACAACCCCCTCCTGCGCAACTTCTATCTAAGCGACGGCCATCAGAGCACCGATTGCCAGCTGACAAACTGCCTCAGCTGTGCCATGGACGACATGTTCCAGGACTTCTATGCTGTTGAGAATACTAATGGATTCACGGCGGCTAGTATTCTGTCTGGATTCTGGATCTCGGAGAAGAAGGCGTTTGAGAACCTCGTCACCACCAAGGAGCAGGATGCCCATGAGTTCTTCCAATTCCTCGCCGAGGAGCTGCATGAGCGCAATGGAGATGGCAAGCGTCCTGAGACTGGAAGCGAGCATACATGTAATTGCATCATCCACCAGACATTCTACGGCAAGCTCCAGACTGGCACTACTTGCCAGAACTGCGGAGGCGTCACCAACGCGGTTCAATCCTTCCTGGACCTCAGTCTCGGACTGGAGAACCTCTCTCACAGGAGAAAGAAGGGAGGCCAGAAGGTGCCCAGCCTGACTCTGCAGGAGTGCTTGGATGAGGAATACGTCAAGTCAGACAAGTGCGAGTATCGGTGCCACAACTGCAGCTCGATGCAGCAGGCCAAGAGAGCCACCAGCATTAAGCGGCTGCCAAATGTGCTCGCGATACAGCTCAAGGTATGTCTAGCCGCATGATTACGGTGCCCTTGTCGCCAGCTAACAATCATTACTAGCGATTTGAGTACAAGCAGGGCCGCCATGACCGCGCATCAAAGATCGAGACGGTGGTTAACTTCCCCCTTCAGCTCAACATGCTGCCATATACTACCAGAGGTAGAGGCGCGGACTCCAAAGATGCCTTTGACCTCGGAAGATCTTGCACGTACGACCTCCTTAGTGTGGTGGTCCACGTGGGCGAGATCGACACGGGTCAGTTGACACATGACGAACCAATTTGACGCTGTTACTGACTGAGTACCTAGGCCATTATGTATCCTACTGCCGAGTAGGCGACCAGTGGTTCAAGTTCAACGACCACAAGGTTGAAATGGCGTCAAAGTCAGACGTCATGAGTGCTCAACCCTATCTGCTCTTCTACATTATTCGTTCACTCTCGTAACCTCATACCTCGAGAGAGAACGAAACGTATCACGCCTAGCAGTGTAAAACAGTAATGCCACCAGGTCAAACGAGGTCAAGACGGTGGCCCGCCGAAAGTATGGGGAAAAGGGGCGCTTTGGAATGGCGAAGGCGGGGGGCGACGGAGGATCAAGCATCTTGTCGGCGTTGGAAATAAACGTGGGTAATGCATCATCTTGGGCCCTTTGGCAAAGGCGAACAACAAAATCCGCATTTTGGATGGCAATCCTAAGGAGCCATCATTGTATAGAACAGCGATCAAGCGTATGTACTTTCTATTGAAATCTCGCAAACCAGAAATATGTGCCAAATCGGGCCCCGTCAGGGCAAGAGGGCAGGCCTATCATCATGAGCTCGCCACCCCATGTGAGGAGGGTCGCGTTGCCTCGGTCTACTTTCTAAGGATCTGTTCCCCCTTTTTTCAACTCGAAGCCGCCTCCCGCCACGTCCAGTCTTTGCACTCAAAGTTTGCGTAACACCAAAACTCGTTGCTGAGCCCTCGCTCGTGGCTCGGCTCGTATGTGACGGTTCTGACACCGAGGGGCTTGTATATCCTGTTCACCAACTCGGCCATGCGCTCGCCAGTACTGACGATGACACGGCCCTTTTCGGCGACATCCGGCTTCATCATCCACCGGACCGACATGGCGGCTGGAGATCAAAGGACTTTATCAGCATGGAGGCGTTCTTTCTTCTGCTTGAATCCCGGGAGGAGGGGTTTAAGCTTACTCTTGGTCTGGCAGTCCTCACTGAGGAATGGCGGGTCGATGACGAAGCGGTCTACGACACCCTTGAGCTCACCCGGGAGCTTGAAGGGCTGCGCAAAGTCGTAAAAGACGAACTCAGGGAAGACGTTGAAGCGGTTGTCGTGTTCCAGCAAAAAGACCTTTGGCCGGGCCTCGCTCTCGTCTCGCGCAGTCTGCAGAGCAGTCAATATATCGTCCAAAGACATGGCGAATCGCCCCTTATAGCGGTGCTCTTACCAGGATATTATGCAGAGCAACAAACACACTGGGCGCAGACACAATCGCAATCGTGGTATCCGCATCAGCGCCCTCGAGGAGTTGCCTCGCCAAGAAACCCGCCGTCTCGTCAGAATACTAAGGGAACAAGAACAAAATCTTAAGTCAGAATTTTGTGCTTCCTCTTTTCCAGAAACCCTTGAAAAAAGCGCATTGCTTTTCTGCGTGCTGATGAAGGTTCCTCCTTACCCAAAATTGCGACTTATTCCAGTCCTCCATGAACGCCGCCATGGATATCGGCGCCTTCTTGGCCGCATTCGCCTCCGCTAGTTCCTGGAGCCTCTCAAACTCTTTCAGACGGGCATCCTCCTCGGCCTTGAATTCGGCCAGCGCCGCCAACGCGTGCGAAGAGAGAGCACTGTCGGCGCAAAGAAGAAGTGTTAGTCAATACTGTGCCACTTGCCCGGTGGAGACGGGGATAGTTCGAATTTTTCGGTTCTTTGGAGCTGGCTTACAGAGGCTCGTCCTCGCTGTCTGAGATGCTCATCTTGGCTGTGTTTTGACGAAAAGTTTTAGTGAGTTTGGTGAGCAAAGGGAAAAGAGAAAGTCTGCATGTGAGCCAGCCGCGAACGAACAAAGTTTTATGATAACGACTGCAGTGACCAAGAGGGTTAAACTGTAAGAGGAAAACTGAGTCGCAACGTGAGGTGAAAGGACTGCTAAGTCTGTGTCAAGGACCCAGTTTGAACTGTCAGAAACTACACTGTATCAACGAATCAGCTTTGACATTGCAGACATACCAACTGATGCCAACACCACGGAGCAAAAACCACATTGTAGAAAGTCCGCACATTT